TAATCAAAGGAGAGACTGCTTTTACTTACAAGCCATTTTGCAAACCATGTAGCAGGTTCTGGTTTTAATATATGAGCTGAGTATAACGGTTACTGAATTTGTCTTTAATGTTCCTTATTGTTTTTCTGGCACAAGGCTCTTTTTCACCTTTGATTTCAGCTCTCTCTCTCTTTTTTACATGCCTATTTGCAGAGGTAAAACACAGGCCCATCGGAGGGTCATCTGCTGTCGATGCGCTGCACGATAACACATAACATCCCCCATGGTGAAAAGTGAGAACAGAGAATTGGCCAGACAAAATACAAGGAGGATTTGATGAGCTCCAGGAGTTCAAAGTTTTTTGTCTCATTTGTACCACATCTGAAAGCATGCTGCCCCTCAACCTGCATTTAAGTTGCTGATCACGTATTAAAATTATTCCTAAACATGATGAGGAGCGTGATTGGACACAGAACAGGCTGACAGGCACCGTCTCGAAGACACAATTCACCGCTGATGGGTCTGTGAAGTCCCGCTGGTGAGCTTTTAAATAAGCCTTGACTGACAGATGTTATATTTGAAGAATGGTTTAACACGCACACACAAAAGAAACGCTAATTGAATGATTGGATGTGAAGCATAAACAGACATGAACTTTGTTTCCTCAAAAAGCTATGACAGAATAATAATTTCCTTTCCATTAGATTACAAAAAAAAATCCCCATCGACACATGTGCTTATACTCTTATGTCCATATGGAGCCACTTTGCTCAAGGTATTTTTCAAACACATATTTCCCTCCAAAGCTAAAAGAGAAGGGCGGAAATGTAGGTTATAAATAGGAATCAAAAGAGCCCTCCTGTTTATTGCAACAAGATGACAGAGACACTGAAATCTTTGAAAGTATGAGTGCTTTGAGCTTTTTACAAGACAGGTGAAGAGAACACATGTGTTCAATCTGTGTACCAGGCTCGCCTGGGTCGGCCCTATCATAAAAGAAGAGAGATTACAAAGAAGTCTAATGAAGACACTGATCAAAGTCTGTAATGCTAATACATAGCAGGTGTTTTGAAACCTTTTAATACCCCCCTGCCCCTCCGCGGGGCTCGTGCCTGTATATCTTTCACAGAGCGGGTCCTTTTGTCCTCTGCTGAAACTAGGAACCAGCGGAGCGCTTTTCAACACCGCTTCATGCATTACGAGATATCTGTTGACCTCAGACGCTTAGAGGGGGTTATGTCCATATCATACACAAATGCTGCTACATATTCTATTACAGCTCAAAGTTGTGTTTTTTGAAAATAGAATATCCTGCTTTGGGGCCCTTCTGTCTTCAGCTGTACAGCACCTGGGCAAAAGCTGGAGAAGAGGTTGTAAGAGATCTGACAAGACAGACTTTTTGGAATATGCTCAAAGCACAATGACTATTTTTGTAGGAGCTGCAAAGCTCTGTCTGATTTCCATTAATTGAAAGCAAGGCAAACCTCAGGAGAGTACAAGCAGTGGCTAAGCTGCTCTGTTTTAACTCAGCTATGTATTATTACACCTAATTAAGGTATAATCATTTGTTATTAATTTACACTCTGATATAAATTAGCCTCCCTATTGTCCAAAGAAATTGCACCCACCTGTGATTCTTGGATCAAATTTGAAAACCATTGAGATCATACTTAATTACAGTGGGTCACCCTTAAGTAAAATGTGTGTTAATTTGGTCTTAATCTGCATTATATACATTGGTCAAAACTGATTCATGAAATTTAAATGTCTATTCAAAAGTTTATGTCTAGTTCAAGTACAGACAAATGTACAGATATTGTATAAGATGAATGAATATCACACACACACACACACACACACACACGCATACGCACACGCACACGCACACGCACACATATATACATATATATATATATATATATATATATATAT